GCGAAATCGCTGAACACGGCCGAGGAGTACAGCCTGTCCCGGGACGCACAGAAAAAGTCAGTCCGACTGCGGGCGGAGGGGCTGTCTGGTCTCCGCTTTCAGCCACGTTCTGAGTTACACTGACGTCCACACTACAGCACGAGGGCTCGGGGTACGTATAAGGGGACCGACTCGATCCACTCCACTCTCCTGGTGTTAAAAGCACAAACCGTTACCCCCGTGACTGTGCCCGTGCTGCTGGTGCACCCTGAGGCACGCGAGTGAATTTGGAACAAGTGTATTCACAAGAATTTGTTTTTAAATCAGGATTGTGCTGAAAGTTCTGAAAGATGGCTAGGGTTGAAAGCTCGGCAGATATTTTCCCACTTCGATTCCCCCTCCCACCCCCGCGGTGACCCCGTGCCCTCTGCACTCTGACCTGTAGCAGTGGCCGGGCTCTGTGCGGCCTGCCCTTCCCGCCCGCTGGTTGGCGGAGGCCTGGGACGTCCACGTGACCTTGAAGGAGGAGACGCCGGTGACGCGGTCGTAGAAGCGCTTCTTCACCCGGCCGCAGTCCACCACGTACCTGACCCCCGGGATGGTCAGCGAGGTCTCGGCCACGTTCGTGGCCACCACGCACAGCCGCGTGCCCGGGGGAGGGGGCCTGAACACCTGAGGCGGACAGAGACAGTCACGCGCACGGCGGTAAGACAGCATCCACGAGGCTGGAGTCTCGCTAGTTTCGCACGGGTCCAAAAATCTCCCTTGCATGTCAATTCATAATACTTTATTTATCCCAGGAGGGCTCTGCATGCACCTGAGCAAAGTGCAAAGTTCACCAAGGACACAACCCAAGAAGGACTAGATCCTAGCCCAATCATCCCCCAGGCACTCGTCACAGAGCTGCGCGCGTGAACTCAAGACCAGGGGACCCCAGATGGGGGCAGAAGAGTGCCCCCAAGCACTGACCTTAGCCTGCTGCTCTGGAGCCAGCAAGGAGTAGAGAGGGAGAACATACAGGGGGAGACTAGGGTCTGATTTCGCATCTGTGAAAACACAAGAATCACAACAGGAAGATAGTTAGCTTACAGCACTGAACTTCCTGTAGCCCAGACACAATCAACTGTGCTCCCTGTGCAAAGCTGAGCGCCGCTGTCATGTGCCCATGTAGATACCCCAGCCTATGGGATGAACACCCTATCGGCTGTTGGCAGTAAGAAGCAATTTAATGCGTTAAGGGCCAGTCAGGTTACAGAACACCATGTCTTCGGGCAACATTATTAGACAAACTTCCAAGGGTTTCACGCTGGGCGATAATTCCGGTCTGAATGACTACGTTGATCCGTTTCATTAAAGCTGTCCCAGCACCCCGCTGTACCTCCGTCAGCCCCTTCCTCCTCCCCGAGATCCAGGTCAAGGTCCGACCCCTCCTCTTCGTCACCGATCCCTGCTCCGCGGTCCTCATCGCCCTCGTCCACCGGCAGGGCGGAGTAGTTATCCAGGTCTATTTTAGGCATGGACTGCAAGGCAGGCACGGGGGGGGGTTAGCGCAGGCAAGCGCGCAAGACTCCCATGGAACAGCCGTTCGATCCATTTCGGACTTTACCGGCCGCAGGCAGAACTAAGAGCTGGATATTGACAGGAAAACTGAGCAAACCACAGACCAGCAGCAGGGGTACAGGGACAGGGTACACAGACCGGCAGTGGGGGTACAGTGATGGGGTACACAGACTGGCAGTGGGGGTAAAGTAACAAAGAACACAGACCAGCAGGAGGGGTACAGGGACGGGGTACACAGACCGGCAGTGGGGGTAGAGTAACAGGGAACACAGACTGGCAATAGGGGTACAATGGGGGTACACAGACCAGCAGGCGGGGTACAGTAACAGGGAACACAGACCGTCAGGGGGGGTAGAATAACAGGGAACACAGACCGTCAGGGGGGTAGAGTAACAGGGAACACAGACCGGCAGTAGGGGTACAGAAATGGGGTACACAGACCGGCAGTAGGGGTACAGTAACAGGGAACACAGACCGTCAGGGGGGTAGAGTAACAGGGAACACAGACCGGCAGTGGGGGTACAGTGATGGGGTACACAGAGCAGCAGTAGGGGTACAGTGATGGGGAGCACATGGCACTTTGCTTTCATCAGGAGCCTTGCAGCCAGTAAAACCTGCAATGTATCCACCCGCTACTCCAGGGAAGTCTGATCTGCGGCCAGCGGATTTCATCCGGTGCTCTCCTGTCGCCGTGAGCAGGCAACGGAACCCTGAGCACATCCTTCTCCCAACTTCCAGAATCCGCTCTGCTAACCCCCACCCAACTCAACACCCAAACACCCACTGCAAACAAAAGAGACAACCCAGAGCAGGGTGCTGCTCATCCACAACGGCTGTCCAAGCGACCGGGCCCCTCTCAGCCTCTGCAAGCCCCTCGCTACAGAAGCCCCCGCTCCGGGACGACCTGAACCCATCGACTGCAGGGTCCTGCAGGCAAGGGAGCTGCATGGTTTCGTACCACCGTCTTCTTCGGCTTGGCCTTCTTAAACTTCCTCATCTCCTCCGGCGAGTCCCCCTTCTCGTCTCCCTCTGCAGACCAAAGACGTCATCACAACATTTCAAATCACTTAACAAGACAAACACCTAAAAGGGAACTGCAGTTCCATTTTTCAAACCGGTTATTGAATCTCGGTAACAAAATCAATTCATTGACGGTATGGAAAAAAGCTATCAATTTCAAATGAAGCACAAAATCGTGAACTTTATGAAAGTGCAAACTCGCATTTTAGTTCTTACAAATTCTGACATGATGCGGCCCTTCCTGCTCACTAGTCACTGTCATGACTGATGTAACGTGATGCAGAGCGAATAAAAATGGGTTGTGCAGCAGACGTTTCACTGCGAAAATGTTCTAAAGTGACCTGTGTGCAAAGTTAACATGTAACAAGTCAGTCTGCCTCATCTCGAATAATGATGAGACTTGTTTCCTAAAGCAGATTCCCTTCTAAAACCAGGGAAATCACCATTGACTTCCGACGCATCCAGAACACAAAACTTCCAATCTTCATTAATGATCTTCCCATAGAGACTACAAACTTTACATTTCTGGGTACAAACAAACACTGATCTTAAGTGGAGTACCACCACCGACCACATAGTCAAGAAAGCACAGCAGAGGATGTTTTTTCTCAAAAAACACAGAGTGAACCGGCAACTTCTCCTTCAGATCTACACAGCCATGATCCACAGTGTTCTGACAACCCCTGTTACAGTCTGGTGTGGGAGCTTGGTTAACTACTCCAAAGGCAAACTGGAAAGGATTGTGTCCAAAGCTGCAAGAACTGTTGGCTGTGAACTCCCTTCCATTCCATCTCTCTACTCAAGCCACACCTCCAGTCGTGCCAAGACAATCATCTCCGACCCCTCTCGCCCTGCTCATGATCTCTTTCAGCTTCTCCCTTCTGGAGAACGTGTCAAATCCTTCCTCTCAAGGCCTTCAACCTCAGCTTCTTTCCCACTGCCACACAAACTCTGAATTCCATGGTATAATAATGCCGCTACATGGAAAGTTGTTTACATATGTAATGATGTTTGTCTTCTGTCCTATTTAAATTTGTACTGTATATGTTGTATGTATGTCTCATCCGTGTTCTTTGCTGTACCGAAAGCAAAGTCCACCAACTATTGCTGTGTGGCAATAAAGAACAATCTAATCTAGGTAGTGAATGCCTCGACGAGATCCGGGAGACTCGCCGGCCCGGCCGACGGACAGCTCTCACCTGGCACGGCTCTGTTGGGCCGGAACGGGAAGGCTTTCCGCAGTCTCCTGCACAGGGAGTGGACCTCTGCCTGGCCCGTGAGGAACACCAGGATGCCCCCTGCGAGACAGACACACATACAGCCGTCAGTGAGGACAGACTCCGGCTGATTCCAGCGTCACTGCCCGCCACCAGGCTCGTCCGTTCCCAACGCTGTGACCCTGGCGGGACTTTTCAATACGGGCGCAAGGATTCGGGTCAGCTGGGGGAGGAGAAGTCGGACCAGCGCTCGGCGGTCTCATTCTCTCCGGGCTCAAACCAGAGCCAGCGGGACGCTTCACGAGCCACTCGCGGTTTTGTACAGGAGCGTGGGTAAAACCCGAACCGAACCGCGCGGCGCGGCCAGACTCTCACCCGGCGGCAGCAGGCGGTGGATTTTGGAGGTTTTCCGGAAGGCCTCTCCGCCGTAGTCGTCCAGCGGGGTGCGCTTGTTGAAGTGGACGGTGACCGGGAACTGCCTGGCGTCCACCTGCGGAGCAAACGCGCAGCCTGAGTCACACCGATTCGAACCCTGGGCCTGCTTCAAGGGCACCGAGGGTTCTCCCCCAGACTAGGGGGGCACGGGGTCACTCAAGGCAAATGGAGCTGCTTTTACAGTAGTGTCCCCGTCGCTATACTGGGGCTTTAGGACCCACACAGACCGCAGGGTGAGCGCCCCCTGCTGGCCCCACTAACACCTCTTCCAGCAGCAGCCTTAGCTTTCCCAGGAGTCTCCCCTCCAGGTACTGACCAGGCTCACCCTGCTGGGCTTCAGTGGGCTGCCAGCGGCGAGCTGCAGGGTGATATGGCTGCTGGCATGAAAATAATATTGTCTACGGTAGCGGCAGGACGCTCTGACCTTGACGACAGGCGGAGGGACGGGGAACAGCCTCCTGTTCTCGGTGAAGTCCTCGACCCGCAGCGTGGCTGACATCACGATCAGCTTCATAGGCAGGCCCCTCTGTGGAGAGGACACACACGCAGACACACGTAAACACGCAAGTACCACCAGACCGGGGCCCCTGCAGGTGACGGCTCGTACTGGGGGCGGGGGGGGGCGACACGTTTGTTCGACTGCACCAAGAGACACAGGAGATCGGCGCAAGAGCAACCTGAACGCCTGCGCTGCCTGTGGTCGGGTGCCAGTTTCAGCGCAAGTCCGCTCACGCCATCATGCACAGACACGCCAGGCGCTGCTGTCGCACTTTCTTGACCACCCAGATCACTGTCCTGTGATCGCAGGGCGGGACGACACCCTGGTGAGGATACACATACATGCATCTGGTGACAATGCAGGGACCCCAATCAACCAGGACCCAGGGAGAACGTGCAAACTCCGTACAGAAGGTGCACCCGGGCCAGAATCCGGACTCCAAGACCCAAACTCTGCGAGGCGGCAGCTCCACCCGCCTCCCGATCACGTCTCTCTCCGAGCACCCGAGAGATGAGGGACCGATCCTCTCCCGCCCCACCCCAGCCCTCGAGGCAGCAGGGCGCCCCCTACCTTGTGGCGCAGAGGGACGATGCGGGAGAGCAGCCCTATCAGGATGTCGGTGTACACGCTGCGCTCGTGGGCTTCGTCGATGATGATCACCCGGTACTTCTGCAGCAGGAAATCCTGAAAAGGGAGCAGAAAGGAAGCTGGAACCTCCCGGGAAGACTTCCTCGGCGCTTCGGAAACAACATGAGCCAGGCGCACAGCTCTGCCTTACTGCTGGAGCTCCTGCTGACCAGGCTCTGAAGCGTGAGGCCGCGGACATCAAACCAAGCTGTACACAACCGGCAAGGACAAACACACACACGCCTGCAGATAAACGGGTCAGCATGCCAGAGACCGACAGGAAACAGACCTTGTTGCACCAGAATAAATGAACCGATTTACTGGGTAATTTGTACCGTACGTTACATACACATTATAGTTCAACTAGGTAGCTGCGACAGCACGCATAAGCTGCAAAGGAACAGGAAACGGGTTTATTCCAAGCTGAAAAGGAAAGACAGGAAACACAATGTTTCGGCTGTGGAGCCTTACACTAAAAATGGCAGCTTGGACCATGTGTTTGCCATTCTTGCCGACTGTATGGGGTAAAAAGCTCTAGATTAAGAATATACAGTATTTCTGCGACAGCTCTGCGATCTTCTGGATTCAGTACCTTTTGGATCTCTTTCAGCAGGACGCCGTCAGTCATGAACTTGATCTTGGTGTCGCTGGTCACGTTGCCCTCGTAGCGGATCTGATAGGACACGACCCTGCGGAGAGGGGGGACAGAGGACAGAGCGGCTCAGGACGCGCAGGCACAGAGGCACGGGGCCGGTGTCAGGAAGGCCACCCCAAGAAGCGCCCGCCCACCCACTCACCCACTCACCCACTCACCCACTCACCCACTCACCCACTCACCCACTCACCCACTCACCCACTCACCCACTCACCCACTCACCCACTCACCGTGTGGACAGGTTCATCTCCTTGGCCACCCGCTGGGACATGCTGACCGCGGCCACTCGCCTGGGCTCCGTCACGCCAACGATGGCGTCCCCGCTGATGCACATGTGGGGGGAGAGAGAGAACCAGACTGGACACTTGTGTAGTGTAACAGGAATCGTGCAATGACATGGCAAGGAGAAAACAGCCGCTTCTGACTGAGAGCTCACAAGCAGGTGGAGAAACAGCTGTGTACCTGGCGTATCCGGCTTCGTACAGGAACTGCGGCACCTGGGTGGTCTTCCCACTGCCCGTCTCCCCACACAGGACGACGCAGTGGTTCTCCCGCACGGCCTCCATGATCGCCTGCTCCTCCGACAGCACCGGGAGCTTCAGCCGGGCGGCCTGGAGACACGTGGAGCAGGGTGACAGGGTCAGGGAAGCACAGGGCACTGGCGCGGCTGCCCCTCTGTTCCTACACTGCGCCGTCACCGGGACCCACGCTGCCTCGCTCCAGACACCGGGAGCCACACGACAGCGGGATTCACACGACAGCGCTCCAGACACCGGGATCCACGCAACAGCGGGATCCACACGACAGCGCTCTGGACACTGGGATCCACGCAACAGCGGGATCCATACGACAGCGCTCCGGACACGACAGCGCTCCGGACACGACAGCGCTCCGGACACGACAGCGCTCCGGACACGACAGCGCTCCGGACAC